CCACCAAGGAGAGATGACCGAGCTTCAGAGGGTTTCTATACACCACTGCAGGAAGATTTTTATAATGCTTATCTTAACAGTGGGGCAGTATTCAGATCTTAGAGGGTGTGCAACATTGAGTCCATTGTAGCAGCAGCTAGAGAGCATATTCTCACTTACCTAGCTTACCTACCAAGGCTGACAGATTTACTTGGACGGACAGGCTTATATGTTCCATCTTGGGTCCACCGGTTCTATGCTACACTCTGGATTGACCCGCAGCACAGATTCATTCACTTTGCTTTCAGAGACAGAGATTACAGGCTGATGAGCTCTAGGGTCAGAGAGATACTCAGGCTTCAAGAGCAGCCAGTCCGGCTACATGAGGTTTGCTATGGATAGACAGCACCTCCTAGACACCCTCATGGCGGTATGGTGCCTCCTACAGATCTAGTCCGCCATTGTTTCACAGAGCCTTTCGGAGAGGGGTCGAGTAGGACACCCAGTGATCTCACTCCTACTGCTAGAGTACTTGATGCTATTATGAGGAGGACACTACTTCCGAGGATGGGGTATCATGAGGGCTTGACTCGCATACAGTTATGGCTACTGAACTCTCTAATGCAGCAGATAGTGTTTGACATTTGGGATCTCCTTCTATCAGAGATGGAAGATACTATTACAGAGGGGTTCAGGGGTCACAGGGAGCTGCCATATGCTCACTGGATTACATTCCTGATCCATAGGGCAGTTACTGTGAGGCCACCTGAGATGCTGGCAGAGTATAGTGGTGCTACTACAGAGTTCCCTGCATACAACATGACTCAGATGATCCGCCATAGTGCAGTGAGGACACCCAGCCAGTCGCGCCATCGTCCAGAGGTGCTAGAGACTGCAGCCCAGCAGAATGAGACCATCAGGGGCATTGCAGCTACAGATGAGGAGCAGTTAGATGCTCAGCAGGAGGGGATGGCCGAGAGTGACCCCAGCGACAGCTCAGATGATGACTATCGGGAGATCCCTCAAATGCCTCCTCGATGACATGACCATGAGGCCGGTAGCTCCAGTTCAGCTCCACCTGCGTCGTAGACAGACCCCGCTCTACTTGCTATCCTTGAGCGGATGAGGTAGGATCAGGCTCGCCAGGCACAGAAGACCGCCGCTACTTTTGCACAGTTTCAGACTCGGCAGGATGAGTTCCAGCGACAGCAGCAGGCGATCCAGTAGCAGCAGTAGGCCATACAGCAGCAGCAGCAGGCCATGCATCAGCAACAACTTCTCATGTAGCAGCAACTACTTGGGTTTATGCAGCATGTTGTGACAGCTATTGGGGCTCCACCGCCACAGCCTTCACCCCAGCTTGGTCAGCCTGCCACCACTTCTATGACTCCAGCTTTACAGCCTAGTGGGCTTCAGAGTCAGGGACCGCCAGTGCCACAGTTTCCTTCACCTACAGAGCAGGTGTCCCAGTGGTTTGCTTCGCCAGTGCCAGCCTCGCAGTTCACTCCTCTTCATATAGGCTTTACTCCGCCTCAGAGTTCGTCAGTGCTCACCCCAGTTTCCAGGAGCTTTGGTGCTTCATTCAGTGAGTTGATAGGGTAGCCTACACCGTTAGAGCTACATGTCCCAGTTCCTTCCATAGTTGCACCTATTACCGAGACTACAGAGACGCTCCCTTCTTTAGTTGCATCATCAGAGCAGGCAGCGCCAGTTCTAGATCCGACCCAGACTGCTTCAGCATCACTTCCAGCTACAGAGGGTCAGACTGCTCAGAGCTCAGGATCAGATGATGATGGCACATAGTTCCAGCTCGCTCCTCGCACCTCAGCGCCCGACTCATCCGCTGAAGCCCCGCCGATGAACCCTTAGGGTTTGGTGTTTGACGCCAAAGGGGGAGAGGGATCGAGTATGTCAGCCTTAGGGGGAGCGATACATTTAGGGGTAGTCTATCTATTAGCTTATCTATTACATTTGGTTTTTATGTGTGATACACTATTATGCATTCGTGTGTTTACTTTCATGCATTGAACTATATTTATGTGATAGTGATATCTACGTGATTGTGATATGTGACATGTGTGCTCTCTACTTTGAATTATTTATATGTCATATCACTTGTGTTATGCTCATTTGTTTTGCTTCCGCGTTTTACTCTGATGCAAATGAGCTTTATTACTTGTACTAATGCCTATTTCATATCTTTGGAGTACATTATGTTGGCTTGGGTCATATAAGCTTGCCTAACTCTTTTGTTCTTACTGACAAAAGCCTATATGATCCAAGCATGTTAAAAACCTCATCTCTTTCACATACTCGAGGTGGTATTTTCATCAATCACCAAAAAGGGGGAGATTGAAAGCATCTAGGCCCCTAGTTGGGTTTCGGTGATTAATGACAATACATGATTACTGTGACTAACGTGTGTTTTGTAGAGACAATTAAGTTAGGTCATGGTAATGGAGATCGATTTGGCTATCATGGTGGTCATGCCCCTATGATGGAAATCGTTTCGGTTTTCAAATGATGGACGACAAGGTTAAGGATGGACTAGTTCTAAGTGTCGATTGAAGTTGAAGTGACACTTAGAGTAGTTTAGGACTTTGTTTTTCCTTTGGCCGTACTATTAAGGGGGGTATGGACGGGTAGCTTGACCTAGGTGAGTCTAGTGGGTTAGGTGTGGTGCATACTTTGCTACTCTTGATCTCACTAATGAGGGCTCTCTTTTGGATTCTCAAATCTCAATCACCTCACTAGGACATTGTTCTTCTTGGCACTCTCAAAGGTGTTTCTCAGCTGTTGGAATGAGCAAAAGTACCCCCTCACACGAATGGAGGAAGTATTTATAACCTTGATTGAAAAACGAACCGTTATGTGCCTCTGCGGGGTGACCGGACGCTCCGGTCATGTTGACTGGACGCTCCGGTCAGTTCTCCCCGAACTCCAGTGTTTAAGTAGTGACCGGACGCGTCCGGTCACGATTTTCCCTCTCTGGAACCTTACTAGAGTCGACCAGACGCTGGGACCCAGCATTCGATCACTCACCTCTCCAGCGTCCGGTCGCACCAGACGGAATCACCTTGGTCAAATGAACTGACCGGACTCTGCGCCAGCGTCCGGTCACACCGGAACCAACGTCCGGTCAGTATTTGACCCTTCATTCACTTCCAACTCTCGATCATACGTGAATGAAGTTTGCTACAATGGATCTAAGGGCTTTTAGGAGCTACCTAGCGCTAGTTTTAGCAAGTGTGCACCACACCTAACCCACTAGACTCACCTAGGTCAAGCTACCCGTCCATACCCCCCTTAATAGTACGGCCAAAGGAAAAACAAAGTCCTAAACTACTCTAAGTGTCACTTCAACTCCAATCGACACTTAGAACTAGTCCATCTTTAACCTTGTCGTCCATCCTTTGAAAACCGAAACAATTTCCATCGTAGGGGCATGACCACCATGATAGCCCAATCGATCTCCATTACCGTGACCTAACTTAATTGCCTCTGCAAATCACACGTTAGTCACAGTAATCACGTATTGTCATTAATCACCGAAACCCAACTAGGGGCCTATATGCTTTCACAGATAAAACACTTGCAACATACGTATGAAACACTTGAAACATATGTTTGCAACATGCATGTTATGCAACATCTAAATATAATTCTGCAACATCTAGATGAAACACTTGAAACATACGTTTGAAACGCCTGAAGCATATGCTTTCAACATGCATACATAGCCATTGCAATATACGCAATATCTAGATGAAACACTTCAACACATACATCTGAAACACGACATCACCGGCGGCCACGGCCTACCTTGTGGGGGAATTGCGTTAGCCAGCAAGCGGCGCTCGAGTGCAGTGGAGATCGAAGATGGTGCCAGGCAAGCGGCTCGACGCGGTGGAAAGAGGAAGGATGGCACTAGGTAGGAGCCCGTGCACGCCACAACGGTCGTCGTGGACCGCGCCGAAATCCGTGGCGCGGGCTTGACGGCGAAGTGGTGGCACCCCCGGCGAGCAGCCCCCGCGGTGGAGGCTACAATAGCGGTCAGGCGGGTGAGGCCTCCCGCGGCAAGGCCCCTGGCGGGCGATGCGGTGGAATCTACCGTGGCGGTCGATGGCGTGGTGCGACGGTGAGAATGGCGCGACGGGCGAGCGATGAGGATTGAGGAATCGGCGTCCAGCAATTATTTTTTAACACGCGTGGGTTTGTTGGGCCGGTCCGTTGCACAGGCCTGGAAACCCGTCGTCCGGACGGCCGGGCGTCCTACGGGGAGCATTTCCGTTTTCTTGCTTCGGATTTTCTGGTTTATATATATCTCTGAATGAAATCCTAGTTATGATTTTGATATGCATGTACAGAGACACATAATTTGATAAAAAGCTCATCTTCAAATTAAATTCGTCATGTGATCTTAGGAAAAATTTGTCTAATTGCATCAGTTACATCGTTAAGCATTGTTTTCTCGGCTCTGTGTATGCTACGATGCCGTCAAATCCAAAGGACAAACAAGGCATGGCATAATTTTTCGTTGCGTGATGGTATCCGTCTAGAAAACTGCCCCCAGCTGTTGCTGTTGTTTTCACATATTCAACGGCTGCAAGCTGACTAGAGAAGTTGGCGGAAAGCGACTGTTTGGTGTCATTTTTGCCGCAGGGACAGAAATGCATCCACAAGACTCAACAATAATCTGTCGATTTAAGGAAGCCGTCATCTGATCGAAACCATACACTAATCAAAGTAATCGTACATCAATAATAAGAAGGAAAAAATGTGTACAAATGCCATTATAGAACCCCTAATAAAATAAAATAAAACAGAAGAAAAAGGAGCTACTCTTCTAGAAGTACAGACTACAGAGGTACAGTAATAATAACAGGAAAGAAACACATCAGCAACAGTCTCTCTGAACCAGGACCCTGCTCTGAAGAACGCCATCAGCACATCGATGTCACAATCTCGCTCGCATCAAAACTAAGCACACCCACACACGCCCGGCGATCAGCTGGTACTCCCTACGCACCCTGCTGCCAGCTGTGGCCGTTGCCGTTGGCCGCCTTGTCGGCGGCGTTCCGCCTGCGCTTCCGGATGGCGATGGGCCAGGTGATGGCCTCGAGGCAGAGCGCGATGCCGCCGAGCGTGGCCAGGATGACAATGTAAGCGGTCTTGTATCCGCTGGCCGGCTGGAGGATGTCGAGCCCCTTGAAGATGTTGATGGCGCTGAGCACGATGACGGAGTAGCCGACGGAGTGGTGGTAGATGTTCCAGTAGAGCCTGTACTTGTTCTTCTTGTCGGGCCTGAGCAGCAGCGCGAACACCTGCAGGGTGGCCAGGCTGAAGATGGCGATGCCGAGGTTGCGGTGGGGCTGGTAGGTGATGCCCGCGGACTCGCTGCCCAGCTTCAGCCCCAGGCCCCAGCCGGCCACGCCGAGGATGTAGCCGGAGCACTGGCACGCGATGTGGAGGTAGAACCACGCCGGGTCCGCGGACTCGAACACGCGCAGGTAGCGGGCGATGATGGCGCCGATGGGGATCAGGACGCCCCAGGCAATCGCGTTCAGCAGTCCGTGGATCTGTTTGTTGTAGCAGACGCGTCAAGGTTAGAAAGATGTTGCCAAAACTTAAATAAATTCTCTGTGTTGCACTTGCATGCATCAGAAAAGCAGGAAATTTAGTACTCTACTTTTTTTTGAAAGATTACTTAACTACTTTTGAGGTGGCTACTAGTAGTATTCGTTCAACAACTCTCGGCGGCAATCTGAAACTGATACAAATATATATAGTACTAGCAATTTAAGCATTCCTTTGTTAAAGCTGAAATGCAGTGCAGCTCCCCCAGAAAGATGTTGCTTCTGGGACTGGGAGTCTGAACATCTTTTTTCAGGGTCATATATATGACATGGTCTATCCGGTTGGTGAAGCAAGCAAATCGAGTTTTAATAAACCCTTTGGCAGATTTTTTTTATATATATGTCACGTCACGTCTAAATTAAAATGATCAATCAAAGTAACTCGACCTCATAATTCCACTCATCTCCAAGTCTCCAACCCAGCTAGCTGATGACTCTTAATGCACACAACGTCGCCGTCCTCTACTTGATCACTACACCTATCCAAATTAAACTTACCTACCGTCTGAACAATTGGGAAGGGAAGGCAATCTTTGAAGCCTAAGAAAATGAAAATTGAAAACGAAAACAAGCTAAAGCAGGAGGGGATGGGAAGAAGGAGCCAAGGAGGAGGAACTCACGTTACGGCGGTGAAGCTTGGAGTTGGACGCGGCGGTGCTTGACCCCGAGAGGAAGTCCAGCCTCTGGAAGCTGGCCAAGTTGGCTGGCGCCGTCGGGTGAGCGGCGATGGCACCGTTGCTGGTGGGGCCGGCCTGCCACACCGTGAACTGCTGCGTGGAGTTCCCGGGAAGCTGCACGGTGGCGTAGATGGTGTAGGCGCCGTTGGAGTACTCGGCGGCGGGGCCGACGGGCACGTTGAACTTGAGGGTGTTGTTGGTTAGGCTGGGGCTGTTGGAGTTCTCCAGGTAGGTCATGAGGATGGACACCGCGCCGCTGCCGTCCTGCGAGGCGACGAAGACGCTGCTGCCGCCCATGTTGCCGCCGCTGGGGTTGATGCCCCAGCCGACCCAGCCGCTGGAGTCCGATGGCGCGCGGAACGCCACGTCCGCGGTGCCGTTCTCCGGGTGGTACGTCCAGTGCAGGCTGGCGCTGAGCGTGGGAAGGCTGTTGCACTTCCCAAAGGTCCGCCCACCGCTGAACGTCGCGGACAGGCAGTCCTGCGCCGTGGCGGCGGACGAGAGCAGCAGCACGGCGGCTCCGAGGAGGAGGAGGAGCCGGCGCCCCATGGATAGTGGTTTTTTCTGTGGGAGCTGGACGGAGCACCTGGCCGGCCGAAGCGTCGCCTCGATATCGAATTTTGATGAGCTCAGCTGTGGTGGTGACTGGTGCCTCGATAGATGAAGGCAGGCTAGCTTGGTCGGAGCTGCAGCTGGTGAGGGAGGGTAAGTGAAGCTGCGCTATATGTAATGGCAGCACGGGGAGAGGAGGAGGTCGTCGCGCGCGCGGTTGTTGGGGGCCGGAGAGCCGGGGGCCGCTAGCGTGTGCGTGGAAGGTTCCAGGTTGACGTGGTTCGAGGTTGTTGGAGTCTCATCTGAGGTTGACGTGTTGAACGTTCAAGCTAAGGGATCGGAGCAGATAATAGGGCTCAGATTGTAAACTGTACTCAACTGGACAAACATGCTGTAAACATGGCATGGTAGCAGGCATATACTCTAGGTTCTTGTTTATATAAAAAAATACCAACAGATGACATCAGCTACCATTTCAGCAAAAGATTGCTTACATGAGGTAGAATTATCGAGAGACAGATCGATGTGGTGAAGGTTGCAGGCTTGCCAGGGTGTGTGACTCCACATAGGTCCAAATGAAAGAGACCAAGTAAATTACCACAAACCTCTGTAATTGTTTTAATCACACCATGGTGAGTTGGAACAATTGTTGTGCGCATAGTCCTGTACCTGCCCCGTAGTGCAGGAGCATGCCCTTTTCCACGTTTTAGTGGGAGTCGTGGACTCGTGGCCCGGTCTTCCTGCCGAGAGTTGTTGAGGCTGGCCAACAAGGCCACAAGGCAGCAATAGGAAATTCGGACAAGAGGAAGAGGATTAGGTGAAAGCTGGAGCAAGTTCAGGACTGTAGACCGTGTCCCGCTCGGTCAACTCAGCTCTTGTGTTTGTGTAGCTTCCTTTCGTTCTTACCCCGCTATCCTTGTCGTGCGCTTCCGGCAATCGCATCTACTGTCATTAAGCCAGTTTGTTTTGGCCGTCAGGAACAGCATCCACGTCGACCCGAATGACCCCAGCCGTCTGATCCTCCATCGTGTGGTCCAGATTGCTCGGAGCAGCTTTCGTTCGAATCAGCTTCATGCATATCCTCATCGCTTTGCGTTGATTTTGCCAGCTTCTACTGCGTCTGGTCCGAATCCAGTCGACCGAATATAAACAACAGCTTCTGCTTCTCCTTCTGGATTCTTCTGAAAACCAGTTTGCTTTGGCTGCCAGGAACAGCATCCACGTCGGCCCGAATGACCCCAGCCGTCCGATCCTCCATCGTGTGGTCCAGATTGTTTGTAGCAGCTTTCGTTCGAATCAGCTTCATGCAGATCCTCATCGCTTTGCGTTGATTTTGCCAGCTTCTACTACGTCTGGTCCGAATCCGGTCGACCAAATATAAACAACAACTTCTGCTTCTGCTTCTTCTTCTGGATTCTTCTGAAAATATCTCGCCTCCTCTTCCTCTCCCGAGCTCGACGCCTCTCCTCCCGGTCGCGGAACGCCGCCTCCACTGCCTCCGCCCCCGGCTTCCCTTCCTTCTTCTCTCCCTCTCCCTCTCTCTCTCCCGACGTGGCGCTGTGTGGCCGGTTCCTGGCGCCGTCGCTTCACCGCGTGAGGCGCGGGTGGCGCCACTCCGGCACCGGGTTGCGCTGGAGCTCCGCGTGTCGGCCCCGGTGGCGGCCATCCCCAGCCACAACGCGGCGCGTGCGTGCCCCGCCGTTGGCCGCCTTCCCGGGTGCCCCCTGACGCGGCCTCCTTCCACAGCTCTGCGTCTACTCCTCTGCTCCATGAAACCCTAGGTGCCTGTGCTCGACAACCCCAGCTACGCATCGCGTCTTCCTCTCCGGCAGTGGCGCCGATGGCTCAACTTGGCGGCAGATCCGCGGTGCCTCACCCCTCCACCCGTGGTTCCGCGGCGACGGAGGCGGGTCACCCCCCTCCTCGCCTCTCTCCCGCTCCACAGAAGCCTAGCCACTAGGTATGGATGGCTATGGGCACTTCCCCTACTCTATTTGTGCTTCAGCTACAATGTTTAGTTTTCTAGATTTAAAGATTGATTTCTTCGGATTTGTTACCGGAGATGGATGAGGGATTAGAACCAAGTGTTTAGTTTGCTTTCTTTTTTAGCTTCATTTAGCGGCACATGGATTCCTGTTGTACAGGAATGCCAGTAACTTGGATGTCATGCTCTTCTGCTTGTTCAAAGGTTGCATGCCACTTCTTGTCGGTTGTGACAGGTTTGTCCGTTTGTGTTGCCTCACAGCTTCTAGATAGCCACTGAATTTTTGGATTTGCAATGGTTTGCAAATTTGTGCCCTTCCATCTAGATGTCATGTAAGATGTTTAGTTTCCTAGATTTAAAGATTGATTTCTTCGGATTTGTTACCGGAGTTGGATGAGGGATTAGAGCCAAGTGTTTAGTTTGCTTTCTTTCTTGGCTTCGTTTAGCGGCACATGGATTCCTGTTGTACAGGAATGCCAGTAACGTGGATGTCATGCTCTTCTGCTTGTTCAAAGGTTGCATGCCAGTTCTTGTCGGTTGTGACAGGTTTGTCCGTTTGTGTTGCCTCACAGCTTCTAGATAGCCACTGAATTTTTGGATTTGCAATGGTTTGCAAATTTGTGCCCTTCCATCTAGATGTCATGTAAGATGTAGCCTGAAATTGCTTACATAATTTTTGTAGCCATAAATTACTCGATGAAGTTCCTATAATGTTGTCTTAAAAATCTTAATGTATTAATTTGTGTTTGGCTATTTTCAAATTAAAATGATCGCGTGTTCATAGCAAAAAAAAAAGGGTAGGTTCATTTGTATTTGCGCATCCAAAATGATTCGATACTTAGGGGAATGAAATTTGGGGGTGTTTGCTGCGGGTTTGCTTCTCACTTTTCTTTGGCTATATCATCTGCTAAATGCAAGCCTTATTTTTTTAGCATACGGTAGGGTTTATATTGTTTTTATATCCAATTGCTTATTTTAGGATGACAAAACATAAATTATGCATTAGAAGTCAAGCATCAATTAACACTGTGGCTATTTTCCTGTTCATTGTTGTGTTTATTGATTCGATTTTAGTTACCAAGATGCAATATCTAGGCAACAAAGCTGCACTTCAATTCATCACTCCACTGTCTTCCTTCAGGTCTACAGCATGGTGTCACGTGAGATGATAGCTAGAGCTGTAGCATTGGAATCGTTCATTGGAAAAGGAAGTTTTAGTGTAAGAAATGTTCAAACACATTGTACTCTGCTTATTTTTTCCCTGCCCTGCTGCTCTCCATGCTATGTTTGGTCCCAAACCATTAATCCATCTGGGTAGACCATTATTGCTAAAATATAGGTGAGTTCTCTTTGCTCTTCTTTTGCCTGTTTACAAAAAGTCTGTTCATAGTGTTGAAAGTATATTTGATCGATAGTGGTTTATGCCAGCAGATGGAGACGGTTGCCACATATTTCTGTAGAGGATCTTTTGTATAATTTCTGTGTTCTGAATCATGGAACTTTCACCTGATCTTGATTCAGTTGCTTCATATATATTTTAATCTCTTCATGCAATTAGATATACTGACTAATTATTAGGTAAAATAAAGAGCTATCAGGTACCTACAATCTTAAGAGAGTTCTGGTTTGTGAACACTTACCTTAGTTGTTTGTTATTTTATCATATCTAAACTTTACTGATGTTTATCAAATCCGTCGTGCAAGGCAACAGGTTCACAAGGAGAGCTACAGTTATGATTCAAACTGACCCATGAATGCACCCCTTCTGAACCCAGTTCTCCTCTGTGATGCACCCTAGGTACTTTCCCCTCTCCATCTTCCTTTCATGTATTTCGAAGGTTACAAAAAAAAAAGATTTGAGAGTGGTTGACTTTCCTATTGTCATGGCAAATTTTATCACGCATTTTTCCTAAAAATATTCATAGTTAAAGTGCTTTTGCTATACAATGTTTCAGAGAGGCTAATTATTTCGGTGATTTCGCTTTAGCTTCCCATATGCCATCTATAATTCATATATGCAGTTATTTTTATGCTGATGATCCTTCTTGCCTACAACAAGAGAATGAGTTAGGAATGTTCTGTGAACCAAATTTGTTCTATACATCAATATTATGTTTTGTTAACGGCTTGATTTTACTTTGGCTGTTGTTTCTTCTTGCACTGAGCCATTCATAGCGGTAATCTCCCTAAAGCCATTTTTTGTGTTGCGTATGTATTGGGAGATTGTTCTGTTATCAGTTCAATATGTACAACATCACGTATTTTTTTACGGTGTGTACAAATGCAATTTTAGTAGTCCACATTGCTCCAACAATCAACTGCCAAGGTACCCTTGTATCTTTTCCCTTTCATCGGTTGATAACATTCATCTCCTTGGTTGTACATGCATTTTGTCCAATTTACGACCAGGTTCATAAATGCTTAAAACTCTTTGATTAACTATTCAGACTTCATATATGTAAGCTAATTCTTTGTTTACTGGTTGCCTTGCCATACTTTTAGGTCATGTGCCGACAAAGCCATCTGAATACTGCAAGGGAGTCAGATTGATGCTCAGAGTGTTCGACTTTCATTGCGCCATGCTCCTCAAAACAAACAGGTACTGTGTGCAACGGAATCTTAGTTTTCGCTGAATCTCACCTACCTAACGGATGATTAATCCAAGACGGTTCCCTGTCAGGATCTGTTGATCAAGTGCTTGTTATAGACTTTTCGATCTCTGAAACATAGTCTATATTTTTCTGCTCCTTTGCACATATTATTCCAGGTCACAATAGGTATTGAAGTTGACTTTTTTTTATATACATAATTTTTAATTAAGCCAAAGATTTTGGATTTCTTTAGTAAATTTTTGTCATATGTAACGAACTGAAAGTATAGGTAATAGTTTAGACACTCCGAAGTTAGGATAGAAATTTGCAACAAATGTAGAAAGAAAAGTAATACCTATACAATGTTGCTAATTTTCTACAAATAACAGATTGTGAGGTCCCAAAAGGGTTCCTTGCATCTC